CGCGCGAGACCCAAATTGAATGCGCCTGTGAACCGAAAATTGAATGCGCTCGCGAGGCCGTGACCCTTTTTGCAGTCGTCCATGGCTGTAAGTGCATTCTGGGAATCCTGCGTATGTCGTTTTTATCCTCTTGCAAAGGCTCCAAGGGTTTCGTGCGGAGGCAGCATCCCCAGCACAAGGGTCCATCATTTGAATTGATTTGGTGCTGATCGCCCACAGAAAGCCCGCCTATGCGGCATGTCACTTTTCTAGTTTTGGTTTGGAGGCAGTTGACGCTGGCTTCAAGCTGGCGTTGTGCTTTCTTTCGGTCTTGGTGCTTGGTTTGGGGTTCATGTTCCTTCAGGCTCGGTACGAGGCTGGTTGCGTGGATTGATTTAGGGTTGAATTCCAGCTAACCATCGACCACCGGCCACCAACAACCAATCAATCAATCAATCAATCAATCAATCAATCAATCAATCAATCAATCAATCAATCAATCAATCAATCAATCAATCAAACAAACAAACAAACAAACAAACAAACAAACAAACAAACACACAAACAGCCAACCAAGTAGCGAGCCAAACAGACAAACAGACGGACGGACAGACATAGACAGGCAAATAAACAGAAACATAGACAAACTGACCAAAACACCTAAGCACCAAACAATCAAGAAGGCAAACAAAACAAAACAAAATAACACCAAAGGATGACAAACAAAGAAACAAGCACAAACAAACAAACAAACAAACAAACAAACAAACAAACAAACAAAGAAACACAGAGACAAATAAACAAACCAAGAAACAAACAAACAAACAAGCAAGCAAACAAACAAACAAAGAAAGAAAGAAAGAAAGAAAGAAACAAAAAAAGAAACAAACAAACAAACAAACAAAGAAATAAAGAAAGAAAGAAACAAAAAAAGAAACAAACAAACAAGCAAAGAAACAAACAAACAAACAAACAAACAAACAAACACACAAACAAACAAACAAACAAACAAACAAACAAACAAACAAACAAACAGAACACACAAACAGAACACACAAACAAGCAAACAAGCAAGCAGGCAAATAAACAAGACACGACAAAAACAACAAACAAACAAACAAACAAACAAACAAACAAACCCACAAACAAACGAACAAACAAACAAACAAAAACAGACAGACAGACATGACAGACATGACGGACATGACAGGCATGACAGACATGACAGACATGACAGACATGACAGACATGACAGACATGACAGACATGACAGACATGACAGACATGACACACAGGCAGATAGACAGACAGACAGACAGACAGACAGACAGACAGACAGACAGACAGACAGACAGACAGACAGACAGACAGGCAGACAGGCCAGACAGACAGACAGACAGACAGGCCAGACAGACAGACAAACAGACAGACAGGCAGGCAGGCAGGCAGGCAGGCAGGCAGGAAGGCAGACAGACAGACAGACAGACAGACAGACAGACAGGCATGACAGACAGACAGACAGGCAGACAGACAGACAGACAGACATGACAGACAGACAAACAGACAAACAAAACAAAACAAAACAAAACAAAACAAAACAAACAACCAAGGCAAACCAAACAAACACAAACAACCTTGCAAGCAAACAAACAAGAACCAGGCAACACAATCATCCAGCAACAAAGCAACATGCACCAACAGACTTACACACACACTGGACACGCGGACAAACAAGCCACAGGAAACAAAATGCGGCAAAAGACAGACACTCGCAACTGAAAAACAACAGAATCAACAAAACACAAACTACAAAACTTAACGACCGCAAACACAAACATTTGTTGATAAGAAGAAGCAAAGTGATCTCCTCGTGCAACAGCAACCCCAGGAGCCGAGGCGTCGCGCGGAGTGGGGCCGCGAGCACCAGGCGGCCGGCGCGAGCCCGGCCAGCCTCCGGCGGCCCAGGTGAGTAGTTTCCGAGGATTCGACCAATCATCTCATCCAATTGGGTTTCAGCCATTCACACAATTTTGTTGGAGTGTTTATTTCGAGTCAGTATTCCGGATTCTGATTCTTACATCGACGTCGACCTCTACTTACGTCGAAAACCTGACTAAGTAGCTTCTAACCATGAGTACTTGTTGACCAAGCCTGGTGTCCCACTTATGACCATATAGTCATAACCTACTCTGAGCTGCGCTGTGATCCTTTGAAGCCCTTCTAGCCTGCCATTGAGAAGGAACCCCATCCCCAAAATAAGTCCAGGCGGTGTCCCCAACAGCAGCAGCCCCGCAACCCCTCCAAAACTTCCGGCACCTTCTGGAGCCAGTCCCGAACCTTATCCCGCCACTCAATGGAATCCCCTTTCGGAGCCTTGCGGAACCTTTCGGGGCCTTCCAAAACCTGGAGCAGCCGCCTCACGGAACCTACGGAACTTTCGGAAACTGCCGAAACCTGCGAGGTACCCTGTCTGCTTGTGTGAACCACCCTTGAGCATCATGTTCTTCTCTTACACTTAAAACAAATCAGGAGTTCAACCAGTCATTCCTACTGAATTCCGCTCCACAAACGATTGCCAACACAACTGAGGAAAAACGGCACACGGACCAAGCAAGGCCGGCAAGTTGAAGGGGCCTCAAATTTCCCCTGGAGACAAATCTCCCTTTCGAACACAAGTGTCGGAGTTGTTCCCAAAATATGTGCTGTGATTTGGACTCGGGAAATATAGGGACCCTCAAAGTAGAGGCCAGAACGAATTCGCTGGCGCTCCAGACTTTTGATCGAAGAGCTACAAAAAAGGCAAATGAGCAACATGTCGCTGTCCGTGGCTCAGAGCTAAGCCCTCAAAAGGTCAACGGTCTCGCCAAAATGAGCGACTGCAAGTGCACCAGTTGGGTGCTGCCTTTACTACGTGACCCCTTTTGTGGTTTCTTTGCTGTGGGTGTTCATGCTTCTGCAAAAGCAGGTTGCAGCAGCTTTGCGAAAGCGGCAAGGACTGTGTGGCACATGTTTTGCCGAAGTCTGTTGAAGCCAGATTGCCGGAGAGCGGCATGTTTCTGCAAATCTCGGCAGCATAATGCAGCAAAATACTTCCTGCATCAGCTGTCATTGTCTGGACTAATTTCAGACTCCAGTTGCTTGACACTGTTTGGACACCCGTGGTCAAACGCTAGAACGGTCATCCCTTCGAAAACTAACAAGGGGGCTATTCTTACTGAGGGGTCCACTGAATGGAGCGACGAGCTGCCAGAAAACACAAAAAGCGCCAATCCTGTCACCCCCCAAAAATCTTGCGGATTACTTGGGCACCATTCTGAAACATCCACGATCATGGGGACCCTGCTACTTCAACCCCCCAACGTGTAGTTGGACCCCAGAACCCAGAGGTGGGTACAGAGCAAAACAACAACGGGTTGTGGAGTTGGAAAAACCTTCCCTCCTTTTGTGACGCGCCCTTTCCGAGCTGATGACACCAGCCAGGCGCGGATGATCATGGAGCCTGCCAAGGGCCGAATCAGGTCCGCAGAACTGCCCCAATCTAAACCTCTACCGTCCCTTGTTGTTTTTGGTGGCATGGCTTCTTGGAGGCCGTGCGCCAGGCGTCGGTGCCTTGCAAGTGTCTGCACGCAGGAGGTTGGATAGGGTTTGTGAGGGGTGAGAGTGGGCATGATAAACTGCCCAGCAGAAGGCAGTCGCTGACGGCTCAAGTGGCAAGGCAATATGACTGGTGTGCACGCGTCGTGGTTACGAAATTCCGTGGTGCAGAAGCGCTCGCGGCATAAAATATTATATATATATATATATATTTAAAACTAGCTCCCTCAAAGTAACACCTTCCAGAAAAGTATTCACATGCGTCGAAACAAAACGGGCCTGGTTTGGGCCCTTGGATCCCCCATGCGGTTTTGGTTTGAGGATACCTGTTGATGTTGTTTTAAAGGTAACCCATCTGTTGAATTTTCCGGGCCCCCACTCGGCCAGGAGAGCGTTTTGCACGCCTCGGGAGGGCGGGGCCTGGCTACTAGAGACTAAGCTGAGAGCCAGTCCGCGCCGCGCGGAATGTCTGCTTCGGACTCTGGGAAACTGTACAAATCAAACCCCTGAAATAGACCATGCCCCCACTTAAGTTTCAAACCCTCCCGAAAAATGCACCATTCCGCCGCTTCGGCTTGACACCCTCCAATCACTCCGGCGAGGTTGAGGTTATCTGGAGTGGGCAGTACTGCAAAAGCATGACATGACATCGCGACCTGTGTTCGGTCAGTACGGTTGAGTGGGCTTCAAATGGAACAAAAAGAAGAAGACAAAAACACAGAGCAACGGGAGAACAAGGCTGCCACTGAACGTTTGTCAGGCCCCAGCCGGATGAAAGCTCGATCCCGACAACACCCGCGTGGGCGGGTTTCGCATAGCGGAAGCCAAATCTGATTAAATCTGGTTCCAGACATGCCGGCCAAAACCTGCTTTTGGAACCCCCGCCCTGTTTTTAGACCCATGAACCCAAAAAGGTCATACAGGGGTCCTTCCAAGCAAGGGGCTTGCCGGAAAGGCAAGACCTGAAAGAGGACCCCCCGTGCGGTGCACGCCGGCCTTTTCCCATAAATGCCCAGTTGGGGGTTTCCATGGCCGGTGATCGGCCATCTAGAAAGCCGGGCGCCCTTTCGCGGCAGGTCTAAGAACCGAGACTCGCAATCAAACCTTTAAAGGAGTCGACCAAAATAATGCAAAGAATCGAAAGGAATGTTTTTCCCACACTTTGCTGCTGAATGGGTTCAAGCCAAAGGCGAACACCATCCCCCCCCAATTCCGACGGTCTAAGGCTCACATGTCCTTGGCTCAAACCGAGGAACCCACATTTAAATCGTAGAACTGTGTATTTGTTCTGGAGGGAGGGGGATTGCGGGGGTCCCACAAAAAAAGACACGTCCAAATATAGAACATGATTTCTCCGAATTGCTTGCCCTTGCGTGTTGTTAATGAAATTTAACATGTCTCAAGTTATTCTCGTCGAAGATGCCGATTCATCGCTGTTCCGTGGGCGAAAGGGGCGCCGACTAGCGCTAGGCCTTGGAACCGTTTGGCGAGCGCCAAGACAAACTTGCAGTGCCCTCCGCTTTGCGGAGGCACGATGAATTGATCCCACTTCTGGGAAACCTTCCGACTCCCGTTTGCCCTTTGCAAATGCGCCACAAAAACAAGCAGGGCGCTCGACGGCAGCCGTCAAATGGCAAACGGAAGAACTTGACCTCGGGAAGGCAGGTGCCTACGGCAGTGGAACCCCAGTTCAATAGAATTGGCGAGAACATCTTTCGAAAATGCATGAAGAATTGACCACATGGAGCAGGGGGTGACCCTCCTGACTGGGAACCCACAAAACCAACCATAGAGGGGTTTTAAAGGTTTGTTTGAACTGAGGAATCAAGAGGAGCATTTTGGGGGCCAAGAAAGGTAAGGCGAAAATACCCTTCAGTGCCCTGCGCAATCCCGAATTCAGTCTGGCTCCTCCCTTCGAGGAGCCGCAGGGATATCACCTGGCAGAAAGGTCCCAACTTGGGACCCTGGGATTGCGGCAACTTTGGGGTACCCCTTTTTGGGGCTCTTGTAAAGGCAAACCCAAAGGAAGCCTACCATTTAAGGGGGGTGCCAAATCTTCAGACAAACCCGGCGTCCCTTGCCTTTAGGGGCATCCCCGTGCTTTACAAACCCTAGAGTTTAGCTTCCCGGAAGCCGAGGGGAATCAACCATTTGCAACCACATGTCCAAGAGGTCAGATCCCTTCAACTTCAGATTCTCCCTGATCCAACCCCACAAATGCCTCCAAAAACCTGTCCAACACCCGTGGAAACTGGTCAAATCCCCTTCTAGCAGCCGATGGAAGCCAGCCAACTTCCCATCTAGCGCCGGTCAACTTCCTCCCCTCCACCACTCCTGTCAAATCAACCTAGAAACCGGCCAAATTCCTGTTAAACTGCCAATTAACCCCCTAAAAATCGTCAGAAACCGGCCGAACTCGCTTCTAGAAACCTGTCAAACCCCCTCTGAAAACAGGTCCAACTCCCGTCAAACCCCCCTAAAAACCGTCAAAATCCCAACAAAAAAACTGTCCAATACCCTAGAAATTTGGACCTGCGCTTGGCCCACCATTCTGTAGATCTCTGCGGCTCTCGGCTTGGCCCTTGAAGCCAGGTGGAATCGTGCGCACATTCGCCCACCCGCTAGCTTGGAAACCAGCTCACGCATTTCGGCGCCGACTCACTCACTTTAATAACATCACTTCACAGCAAACTGAAGCACAGTATATACCTCAAAGCCAGCCAAAAGCGGACTGGCCGAGGCGGGCAACGCGAAGCGTTTACAATTAATGATTTGCCTTTGTTCCTTGTAACTACCAGCCCTGACGATGTTTCCGCAGTCATAATCAGCGGTTGGTCAGTGTTGTCTCTGTTTTCCGGCTCTGGATGAAAAGGCTTCGCCCTGTTGGATGTTGCACCAGTTGACACCCTTCAAACTGCCATCCGAAAGCTGGCTTCAATTGAGCCGCACCGTGATTTTCATCACCAAAAACCGGTCGCTAAAATGAAGCCCGAGCCACGGGGCGGAGTTGTCAAAAAGTACCTGGCCCATTGAATTTTGACATCTTCAAAGTAAAATTTACACCAGCTAAATACCGTTTCAAAAAACCCACCGAGTCCCAAAGTAATTTAGAGACCACATCCTCAACATGTGGACCCTCTTCAAGGTGCCTTCTTGAGCCCCTGACCTTCCGCGCCGCTTTGATAGCGTTCCTTAAAGGGTACATCCAAAACCACCGGCTTTACGATGGATCCTCTAAATCAGCTGGACAGAGTGATTTTTGAGCTGGCACAAAAAAGGGCTGGTCTGCCTTCCGTGTCCTTCTCCCAAACACGCCCACACAAAAGGGGCTCTGGTGCTTGTGAGGTCTAGTGACATGTTGCGCCGCCTTGAAGGGGGCTCCAACACGTTGGCACCGTACTCTGGGCTTGCTGCTTCATTCATCTCCAGCTGAAAATGAACATTTTAAGATGTCAACTGTCTCCCACATCCAAAAGTCGACGCATGAGACTCGGTCGGTCAAATTATGTGCTTCCTCAAGGACATGAGAACATTACTTGAATGATGTTTGTGGGTAATTTAGAGAGCTCCCTCGAACCCCCTCACAAAATTACTGTCCAAACCCTGCTTGAAAGAACGCCCCGAAGGGTGCTGCCGGCTTGGCAAAGGTCATGGACTGCCATAGGTCCCATAGAACAACCATGACCATGGCCCACAGGCCTGACCATAGGACATGTATTGACTTGAATCCACAAGGGGAACCATTGCAACCTAACGGTGACTACTGACTTGTCTGGGTGAATAATCATGATGAATATGAAAATAAGAGTTCCCTATGAAAGGAACCTTCGGCAAAACTGAGCTGTTTAACATGGGTGTGTCTCCAATTGGGAGGCCACCAAAACGGGCTTGGGTTTCTCTGCAAACAACCAAAGGTACTAGACTTCTCGGGAAGCCTTCCCCCCCACCCGCATCTCGTTCACGTGCCTGAAACTACGAGTTGTGTCCTGGCCGATGCACCGGGGCAATGGAGATGTCAGCGCCCTCGAAGAAACGCACAAACTGTCAGTCGGCTATTGCGGGCCTACTCCCTTGTCCCATGGAAGGGCAGGTCTTCCGCCGCAATCCAAGGGCACCAGGGCCTTTTTGTTCGGTGCCGTTGAAGTGCCTTGTGATCGGTCCCGTCCTACAAGAGGAATCAAAAAGTGGCCTGGCCCTTGCGAAGCATGAGACAGTTCGGCATGAGTGGAGCTTGGGCTCTACGCGAGGACCAAACCCCTTCTGTGGTGCTGAAACGGAAAACCGCCAGGAAACCGAACCCCAAAAACATGGGGAGGGGTTCATATTCCAAGTGGAGACAAACTGATATGGGAGGTGTCTCAAACTTGTGTTTCATTGGTTTAGGGAAATTCAGTTTGAGGACATCACTGTCACCTGGAGGAATCGATCCCCAACATGTGTGCCGTCAAAACTCCTTGGGTCATGATCATGGAGAATGATCATGTTGTCTGACTTCCTCATCAAGGGGTCCATGAGTCCACCACCCCTAGCGGCACATGTGAGATGGGGGGAGTATCTGAGTAACATCCGTGGCAGCCGCTGCCCCAACAAAAAACAAATCGTTTGGTTCCCTGTGTCGTGGCCCCTGCTTCTAAAAGGCAAATCCTGAAACCCCAGCGGAAACGGTGTTTCCGAAACACGTCGGGGAAGGCGTGGCACCAGAAGCCGCTCGCGGCGCCTGGATCTTGGCGAAGTTGGTGTCCAGCAAGTGCTTCATCATCAGCAGGAACTCCGGGAAGTCGGCATCCTTGACGGACATATAACAAAAGGGCAATAATTTTGGTTGTGTGTGTGTCAAGATAAGGAGACCCCAAGAAGAGTCTGAGAAGTGAATACTAAATTCTACATGTAATGCATATATATATATATATGTTGATTGTGGTTCATTTTAAGTGAATACAAGTGACCATTAAAATACAAACTCATGTCAAAGCAGATCCCGAAGTTGTAGGCAGGCAACTAGGAAAATTGCGCAGAACGCTGGACCAGTATGTATCTCGAAAGGGAAACCAGCAGGAAATCGAAAAGCATTTGCTTCAAACTGCTTGATGTGAAACCTGCGTGATGTAGTTGTGTACATGCGTTACCCAGTCTTGAAGCCTTGTAATGCTGAATGAAAAGTGGGTTGCGAACGGTCTCCATTGGAAACCGCTACAAAGGGAGGGCCAATCATTGCGGGCGCTGCTTCACTGAAATAAATGAATTCAGGTTTCACGTTCAGTAAAACTGGTGCATGCTGTCCATCACCACGAACAACATCTCTTGGTCGCGTGAGGCATGAGCCTCGAAAACGCACCCGGCGTTGTCTGTGGACGATGACGCGCCGCGTGCCCACTGGCCCCACATAGAAAGTGGATGTCATTTGGGCCGTGCTTCAAGTACTCTTGCAGGTCCTCGCAACAGCAAAGCCAAGCGAAGTGATTTTTCCAGCAGTTGTCCGACCAGGCTCGTCAAGAAGTCAAAGCCGGTTTGCCACCTTTTCAGCGACAGTGGCCTTGCTTCCTGCTCGGCGCTTGCCGCCGGTTCTGGGCCAAGCCGCCAAGGTGGTGCTACCTACTAGAATGGTGATGGTTCTCAAAACCCTTCCTTGTGGGGCGGGCGGCGGGCCTGTGGTATCTCCCTCCAAGCTCAGCTTCCTTGGGGCCACTTGGTCTTAAACGTCCATTTCAAACAAAATACATTAATCAGTTTTCAGACTAAACTACCCCAAGCTGTCCGACCTGAACGTATCAAAGGGCCGCACCTATGGTGGGTCTTGGCTTTGTGGACCGAATACTCTCGTGGTGATCATCAAACACGCTTCATCTCTCCTGGTCCTCAGCAGGGAATGAGGGAATGATCCTGCAACAACCGGACTCTTTTGTGTGCTCGTTGGCTTGGGATAAACTTGGCATGTGCCAACAGATCCCCCCCCCACCGACATCCTGCCCCCGACACATCAATGCTGGCGTCCTCCCTCTGGGCGCTCGCAGTGCTGCGCCCGTCCGCCAAGCTTCGCGTGAACTGCGGGATGGACGCGGGGAGGTGCCAGGGAGCGGGTTTTCTCTATGGTTGTGGAACACAACACAGCCCTTTCTGTGACACCAAAATGGAACGAACGCCCATCCCCTTGGCTACTCTTACTTTTACAGGGGATTCCCCTAAAAAGGAGAAGAGCTATAAAACCCTGTTGCCCACAATCACGCCTGGAACTGAATAAGCTGCTGCAGGTTCCATGGACACTTTCCCAATTTCCGAAAGAGCTAAGGCTTAGCTAAGGGGCCAAGGGTTCAAGACCAGCCAGCCATGATATTTGGCTTGCAAAAGAAGCTGGAAACCAGGGCTTGCTGACTGACTTACCTTCAATCTTTGGCTAGTAGTCCTCTGTCTTACCTGGAATGGTCAAGGCCCTTTGCGCCCTTTGCGTGGCAAATGAAAAAGTCCAGAAGTCCAGAACAGTCCGAGGAAAGCAAAGAGTAAATTCACGTGCCAAAGACAAAATGAACCAGGAATATTAAGCTCCTGGTTGATTGATAAGGGGGTGTTCCAGTTAGAGGGGAATTGTCACCTTTGCGGGGAGCATCCCCCAAATTATCCACCGGGTTGATCAACTGGGGGTCAATATTGCTCCGTCCAAGGAAGGGATCTGACCTTCGAGCACTCAAAACACGGCGTTGTCGTTGCGGTGTCTCTTGTTCTTGTTACTGTTTCCGCTGCGGCTTTCTCTTCAAAACATCCCCATTCCCTTTTCAGAGCACATTCCACACACCGGCACAGGCACAGGCACAGGCACAGACACGGACGACACGAACACAGACACAAACACGAACAAACAAACACTCACCGTGTGGACCCGCCTGATCGAAGATGTGCCTGAGCTGCGCTGAGAGACTGTCGCCCAAAGGCGTGATGTCGTCGATCATCTTCCGGAACTGGCACCGGCGTGGTGGAAGTTTACGTTGGACCCAAAATCACTTGTTCCCCAAGAGGACATGGGAAACTTGTTGCGTCCCCCTGCGTTTTGTGGAAAACTAGTGAGTTCCGCATGTCCCCCAGATGGACGATAGACTGCCGGATATGTTGAACCTCATGTGAACCAGAGTGGACATTTGGAACACTCACCAAAGTACCATCAGCAATGAGGCACAATGAATAGTGTGGCTCATGTCCACAAGTCTCCCCTAACCTTTTGCCGGGCTGAAAAACCTGAGAAATCATGGAATGATGATTCCCTCGTAAATACCAACAAACAATGATTTTCCCATGGTTTCAAAGTGGTGTAGGATTTCGTGCATCCACAGTAGTAGATGAGAAAATAGACATTCTCACTGAACCTAGTGCTAGCAAATGGAAAAGAACCATTCTCACTTGACCTTTTGACAGAACATGGAAAATGATCAGACGCTTGGAGGGTGGCCAATCCAACTGATGTATTCCCAAGGCATGCATTCGTACGGATTCATTCGTACACACGCAACACGTGCATATATATATATATAATACCTGAAACTATGACCACCTTTTTGCAGCCTTGCCTATGGACCGAATTTGCTGAAAACAAAAGTTCAGAAGGTCGATCCGCTCTAGGCAAAAGAGGCCAGACTTTCAAACACGTCGCCGGAATGCAAGCGCTTGGCCCCTGAACGCCTCCGACAGCGCCTATGGCTCCTAGCTTCGGGCGATCAGTTGCTGGCGCCTGTTCCGTTCAGGAGGTGTGCACTCCTCAAAGTATGACTTCTCTGCCACTACTACCACTTGGCCATCAAACCCTGGGCCCTGCTCTTTCTGTGGGCTAGGTGTTAAGCGAAGCCAAGCTCGGAGTTGCTGCCATTTGGAGCCCTCGCCGTTGGGCCTTTGGGGGATTGGCACCCAAGGTTCCCTTTGCTTTGGGTTACTTACCATACAGAAAAGGGAATCACTAGTTACCTTTGAGACCATTTTGGGCGGACCAAAGGGACTCCTTTTCAGATGAAAGGGATCCTCAAACAGGGTCTCTTTATTCGGAAAAGCAGCGGCCAGTTGGATGGTCCGAGACTTCGAGACTTATGGTAGACTCTTGGGGTCTGCTTTGCAACTAGGGTAGTGATTTTTAGGGTTTGGCTTCTGCCAAAGGGACTGTAAGTGCGTGTTAAAATAGGGGGACCCTTAAAATGTGTGGCTTGCCTCCGAAGGGCTCCTCCAAACTGCTCCGAATGAACCTCCAAGCCAGTTGGTTTGCATGTGGTTATCTTTTCAAACCTCCACACGCCATGGACCTCCCCGGCCGGAAAAAAGCCCAGGTGGTATCCCCAACTGAAACCTCCACCCCATAGCCTATCTGCGCAGAGACCCCATAGCTTTCAGCCGTTGGGGAATAAGGAACTTCTCTACAAGGAAGTCCATTATGGAGAACGACGTTTCTTTTCTATGAGGGGAACTGATACTTTTCAAGCTTTTGTCCGTGCTTTTGTCGGAGTGAAACGTCCAACGAGCTCTCCCAAAGCCCACCTGCTCATAGGAGAGCTCGGGCGCGCTGCCCTGAGACTCGTGGGCCGCCAGGAAGAAGTCGCGGAACCTCGAGGTTGGGCCCCAACTCTTTGCTGGATCCCCGGCAAAAGAAGCGGAGCCATCCCAAAGACGGGATGGAAACCCACTGTTCTGCCAGGGTCACTCTGAGGTTGGGCCAAACTGGGTCCGTTAAGCCTGGGAAACGAGAGGTTCTTAAAACATGCTAAAATTTCAGCTTGGTGGTTTAAACGTGCAACAAGGGGCCGAATCGCACCCACGCTGGACCGGAGCCTCGTGGAAATGCCCGCCCCATCCACATGGAATCTGACTGCATCCTAGATGTGTTTCCTCCAAAAAAGACCTGGACCATCTGGTATTCTATTCAAGTTGGTGGCCCTTTCTGTGATACCGGCAAGCGGGGATGAGGGCACGCTTTCAGGTGGCTTTGAAGAGCAACTAAAAGAAAAACCACTTGTTTTCACACATGCAGAAAGCGGACAACTAAAACAAGATGTCCACAAGCCATGGACCATGCTGCAGAAGTTGGAAGCTTGGAATCCCAACTTAGTTCCCAGCTCAGCGTTTGTTTGGATTTGACCACCCCTTTTAACGGGTTGGTTGCTGGGGCTTAACAATTCGGAGTTTGGTCAGGAAGAGGCTGAAGAGCGGCTGTGCGGCGGATTTCCTGAAAGTGATTCGAACTCTGTAGGGACCCCCCAAAATGGTTGGTTTCCCTTTACCCCCACCCCCCACCCCCAAAAAAAAGAGGCACCCTAGCTGACATTGGCAACCCCCAGAAACAATCACAGTCTTCACCCAGAGTAGGGGTCCCCCAACATTCGGTTTGGCAGCGACCCTTTTCGTGTGAAGGGAGTTCCTCCCATGCCAAGTTGGGATCCAAACTTTGCATGCCAAAGGTGGTCCACTTCCCAAAGGCGATTAGTTCAATTGTTCGGTTGGGGTCCATGGTGATCTTCGAGAGGGCTCACCAAACACCTGAAATGGCTCCCCCAAAAGCACCCAAGCCCCTTCCTGGGTCCCACTCTTGGGGAACGGAGGCCCCACCCACTCTGCTTTTGTGCGAGGAATCGCTCAATTGCAACTCACTCCCTGAGTTCTGAGCTTCGGGCTGTTTGTGAAGACCATTTCAGTTGCAAACAGACAGTTTGGACTTGATTTGGCCAATCCACTGAAGTGAGACAGGGGATAAAACATGGGAGTCCGCTGGGGAAATTGGGTTGACAGATCCCCCTGCGAAGGCGGAAATGCAGGCCCCTTGCAAACCGATGCTCGGCAATCGAATCTTGATCATCATCCTTCAACCTATCAAGTAGATAAGGCATGCAGTGTCGTGAATGATGATCAAGATAGCACCCTCATTCTGACGATCACACTCCCGTGGACGTTTTAAGGGTCCAAAAGGCAAGTAGTTGTCCCACGCCTTCCGATCGTCAGCTTCCGGGAGGGTAACATTTATCCAACCCCTCCAGGACCCGGGGCTGCGCCACCTCCGACGCGTTGAAGCCAGAGGCCTGGGAAAACAAAAGCTTCCTAGGAGTCCTAGAGAGTCTTTGGGGGTCCATGTTGATTTGTAGAATAGAGTCCGCTTCCCCGGACCGCAACTTTTGTTTTGTATTGATCACGCTTGGAAGAAGCGTGCTTTGCCACCTTGCGGAACGCACGTTTGGCTACTTCGGTCACAAACCATGACACACACACACACACATACACATACACACAACGAGCTGTTCTAAGCTGAGTGAGAATCTGCTTCTGAGCCGTCGGGTATATCTCAAAATGGTGAACCCCCTTGTGTATTGTTTTGAGGGAAAACCACAAGGAGAAAACATGTTTCAAACTCCCAATCTCCAACAGACTGTAGAGGACATTTGGGTGTGTCGCTTTTTGAGGGTACCGCTGCTCAGGCCCAAAGGGAAATTCCATCTTGGGGTGAGAGTGAACCTCTCGGATCTTCCCAACCCATCCTCACCTGTCAATCGCAAACTGAGCTCTGCCATGTCTCACCGAATCCCCGTCGACACCTTTCCTAGCCCGGCGACCTGAGGTTTGTCGGTTGGGAGAAACCTGCCAAAACGAGGACGAAATGGGCGGAGCCCGCTGGGCAAACTGGGCGGAGCCCACTCTACGCGCCTGAATCGCGTCCGCCTCCTTCTTTGCATTCTCGTTATCCTCATTCAGGTGTGCGCTTGTTGTCAAGACACCTCGGGTTGTTTCAAAAGGGAAGCCTCATTGTGGGGTACCCCATTTGGACGCACCTATGCCGAGTCCTCGAAAGCCAGCGGTGGTTTGGATTGCAGTAGAGGTGGGGCCAATCCCTAGATTATGGATATGCAAATCTTGTTTAAACAACCATATTTGAGTCCTTGTTTGGGACCGAACTGCTTGTTAACACGCCTAGAAGTCTGTGAGTCTGGCAATGTGGTAAGCTCCTGCTTACCCCCAAACTCACCAATCAAAGGCACCTTGGAGTGGTCCAACTAAGGGTTTGTCGCAAAGTGGGAAGGCTCTAACATGGGAGGGGTTGATTTAATGCGTTCCTTTCTGTTAGTTGCTCATTTGATTTTCCAAAAAGGGGGTTCGTTTGGTTGTTTGACCTCATTCTATTCTCCCCCCGCGCCCCGCACCGTCAACTGCACTGGCTGACCTCCAGCACATTCTCGAGCCATTGGCAAGATGACCCTCAGCAACCCAAACCCGCCGGCTCCGCCCAATTTCACTACCCTGCCCCGGAAAGCTCCCAACCCCCAAGCCCCAAAACCAACGCCGAATCCCCCCCCAAGCCCCCGTTCCCCCGGCTTCCCCCCCTTCCCCGTCAGCCCACGCAAACCCCGCCTGTGCGCCATCCGAAAGCTTCGTTGGAAACTCCCCTTCCCAAATCTGGGTACGGTGTCAACAAATCGTTGTTTTCTGCACACGAGTCACTCACAATGAACAGAACCAAAAGACTAAACAACTAAGAAACACAACAACCAACCAACGAAACAACTACTTGTTGAAAAGAAAAACAAAAACACTCACAAAGACGAAACATGTAAACGGGTGAAGTTCCTCTCCTGGAACTCCCGGAAGAGCTGCATCAGCTTCAGGAACTCCTCCGAGACGGATCGGCTTGAACATCTCTCTCTCTCTCTCTCTCTCTCTCGTGACCACCTCCTTTTGGTGTAAACAAGCTTTGGTTTGAAGCACCTCTTTTTGGCCGAAAGTCCATTTGAACCACGTCCAGTGTTGCATCTTCACTTTGCCAAACGGCACAGATCGATGGAGTCGAAGGCCGTTTTGGGACCTGAGCCATGACGCCCAAAGCCTCAAAGTTCTCTTCCGGGCTATAGATTCAATCTATGGTTCCAAACTTTGAAGACGGGGTCATGTAAACGGACCCCACAAACCACAAAAGGGACCCAACAGAAGAAGAAAAAAAAGGTCCAACAGAGTTCTCTAGACAGGATTACCAGCAGATCCCAAAACAGGGGCCAGTAGATCTCCCCTTCAAAAGTTGCACCTTGTTGCTGGCTTCCATTAAAAATTGATCGCCACTTTTGGAGGTTCCCTCTAAACGGGAAATGCCTCGGGAAACCCTGTTCAGTCCTAAACCGGACCTCCCCCCGCCCCCCCCCCCACACCCCAAACCGGGCCCTCCCGGCCTTGAAGCCCAGCGAGGCAGCGCCCCCCGCGGACTCCGAGAGCACCTGCCGCTTCGAGCCCAATTTGGACGACGGTCAGTGCTTAAACCGCCCGTTTGGAGAGGGGTCTCCTATTTCGAGACACACTCATATATATATATATAGCCTCAATGGAACTGTGATCTTGGAAAGGTTTCAGAGATCATTTTCCCTCCAACAATGGTACGTGGGTTGCCCCGAATGGACAGTCCTCCCAAAACCTCCCCTCCGACAATGGAAGCTGAAATCTGGGGAAGGCCCCGAAATCCAGTTCCATGATTGTTGGAACAAGATCCCCAGTGGACATGCTGGAACCAGTGAACCCAAATTTATGGTTGGAGTTTTCGGGGCGCCCCTTTTCAGGCGCCCAAAGGAAAGACTGGGCTCCAACCAACTGATTCTCTGGCAACAGGTGGACACAACGACGAAAACAGCTTAATATTGGGCGACCCTACATGGGGTTCTACAATAGGCTGAAAAACTGTTTCATACTCATGGACAGAATCCTCGTCAGGCGACCTTCTGACCAATTTTGACCTTCTGCTTTTCCAATTTAGGTCCGTCTGATCCAAGGGGACCTGGGTTTGACCTTTAAAGCTGCCAAGGTTTGCCAGCCCCTTTCATTGCTCTCTGGCTTCGCCAAATTCTCCTCTGAGTCTTCTTGGCAAACGCGTACGTGCCATATTTATATATATATATATACATAACGGCGGCCTTGATTTCTCTTCAAACCAAACCCTCAAAAAGACACGCCCAAATGATAGTCCTACCTGGCCAGTTGAAAAACTTTTCCATAGACCTTTGGGCCATGGGCGGCAAGGTCTTCCGATTCGACCGTTCACTTTGACTTTAAGAACCTTGTCAGGGCCCTCCCATCGTGGATGGACAAAATCTTGCCCTCCCACTTGGGATGGATGAACCCCTGAATGATCAGTGGCATCCGATTCGGGCCGGGAACCGGACACATTACTGCACCTTTGGGGTAAAAAAGGGTAAAACGCGCTCTCTGCTCGTTCCTCAAGTAACGGCATCGTCCGAAAGAAGCAAGATACATTCGTGCGTAGGAACTCGGCTGAGTGGCTTCCCATAGGGAAAATGAGTCGAGAAGCGTCTCAAATATGGATGTCCTTTTGGATTCCATTCAAAAAAAGGAGGTCCACCGAAAAATCCCTAAAAGGAGAAGAATCAGCCTTAAAGGGGAAAGCCGGGCCCCGACTTCAGCCACGGCCAAGTGGGATGTCAAACTAGGACGTGAAAATACCCAAAATAGTTGGGGGCCCTTCTGGTGTCCCTTTAAAGAAAGCCTTAAAACCAAGCTCAAAAGGTTACCCTGAAAAACAACACGCTCAAATAGGCTAAGCCTTTGACCACTTGGCAGAAGGCAGGAGTGCAATACGTCTTGACCCGACCCAACACGTCACAAAACAGCCCAGGCATTGCGACTCAACTGTTTGAGAAAGAATATCATGGCAAAATGCAACCAAAGGGCTCCCAGAAGTGAGGCATACCCACATGGGTCATAGGGTCACAGGAAACTCGCATCAAGCCAGCCCGCAATGCCTGCCTCCTTCATGATGCTCTGAAGCTGTGGTCGCATGTTCCTCGCGATAGGCAAGCAACTTCCAAGAAGCACAGATGACCTACAAAAAGGTGTGTGTGTGTGTGTGGGTGTTGGTGTGCGTACGCGTGCGCGTTTGCGTGTGCGTGTGCATGCGCGTGGGCATGTGCGTGCCCTTTCGCGTGCGCGTGCGCCTGCGCCTGCGCTTGCGCGTGCGCGTGCGCGTGGGTGCGCACGCGCGCATGCGCTTGCGCGCGCGCGCGTGCTCGTGAGCGTGTGCCTGTGCGAGCGTGCGCGTGCGCGTGCGCGTGCGGTCCGCGTGCGTGTGCGAGCGTGGGTGTGCGCCTGTGTGTGTGTGTGTGCCTGTGGGTGTGCGTGTGGGTGTGGATATGGTGGGTGGTGGGTGTGGGCGTGGGTGTGGGTGTGCGCGTGCGTGTGCGAGTGCGTGTGCGTGTGCACGCGCACTCGTGCGCGTGCGTGTGGGTTTGCGCGCTTGGGTTTGTGCGCGTCTGTGTGTCTGTGTTTGTGTGTGTGTGTGGGGTTGTGTGTGTGTGTGTGTTTCTTTTTGTGCTTGTGTTTGTGTGTGGGTTTGTGTTTTTGTTTGTGCTTGTGTTTGTGTTTGTGTCTGTGTGCGTGCGCGTGTGATTCTGCTTCTGTTTCTGTTTGCGTTTGTGCTTGCATTTGCGTTTGCGTTGGTGTTTGTGTTTGTGCTTTTGTTTGTGTTTGTGTTTGTGTTTGTGTGGTTGTGTGCTTGTGCCTGTGTTTGTGTTTGTGAGTGCGTGCGCGCGTGCGTGCGGAGGCGCGCGTGCGTGTGTGGGTGCGCGGGTGCGCAGGTGTGCGGGTGAGCGCGTGCGCAGGTTTGCGCGTGCGCATATGTGTCTGTGCACACATGAGTGCGTGCGGGCGTGAGCGCGGGCGCGCATCTGTGCATTTTCGCGTGTACGCCTGTGCGTGTGTGCACGTGTGCGCGTGTCGGGGTGTTGTGTTGTTGCTTGTTCTATTATGTTCTGTTCTGTTGTGTGCTGCTCTGTTCTGGCATGTTCTGTTGTGTTCGTTGCGTTGCATTGTGTTGTGTTGTGTTGGGTTGCGTTGCGTTGGGTTTCGTTTCGTTGCATTGCAGTGTTTGGTTGGGGCGTTGCGTTGCATTGCGTTGTGATGTTGCGTTGGTTGCGTTGTGCTTTGTTGTTTGTGTGTGTGTGTGGGTGTGGGTGTGTGGGTGTGTGTGTGTGTGTGCGTGTGTGCTTGCGTGCGTGCGGGCGGGCGGGCGGGCGGGCGGGCGGGCATGCGCGTCTGCACATACACATATATATATATATATGTATAGAGACAGAGAGAGAGAGAGAGAGACAGAGAGAGAGCGAGAGAGAGGGAGAGAGAGGGAGAAAAGAAGACATGCGAGGCTCTGCTTCAACCTGAAGGCACTGGAAAGCAAGCGGGCATTGTTCTCTTGTATGCACTCCGGCTTTGGTGTGCTGGTCAGCTTTCAAAGACAAAGATGTCAAAGACGAATGACTTTCTTGCTTTGCATGTCTGATCGACCTGGGCCAACTCGACCAAAAGGGCGGCCGTGGTTTGGCACGTGGCCCGGATGCTCAACCTAAATTGTGGGGAAACAGGGGCTCGTTGACTACAAGTGGGTGAGTCTTAAAATTCGATTCGGACCCCAAAATGGTGGCTTTGCCTGTGGTATCCTTTTACAACAAACTCCAAAAGAGTACCCAGCCAGGCAGTCCCGGTCTCGCCTGTCGCGTGCGAGCACGGGGAATAAGTCCTCCACCATGCGCACCAGCCTGGGCCGATTTTTAGGTCGAGTATTCGCATGGAAAAAAAATAGGGACGAGCGCCGACTAGGATCTAGGGTAGCTGAGGATTGCCCCTTTTCGAGGTCCGAAAACGAGAAATTGAGGGAGCATTGCCAATCTCTTGAGCTGAACGAGTTGAGGTCATGTGCCCGGAAATCAACACGAACAAGCACCAAAACTGGTTGGTGTCTGCTTTCCCGAATGAGGGATGGAGCAAGAGAAAGCCAAGCTCCCAGAAAGCTCCCAGAGGTGCCCTGCACGGACCCCTCTTCTACATATGTGTTTTGGAAGATTTGAGGATATGTGCCACTTCTAAAAGGGTGTATATATATATATGTATATATTATATACAGTGCGTTACAATCGTATAGATGCGGTACATAATCATCCACACCTCAGACTTGCATATGAATTTGGCGGATATCCAACCATATCCTCGCGTTGCCAGGAGGGGTTGGTTTGCTTTTCTTGGGGGGGGGGTTCTCCCCAGCTTCCGCTTTAGTTCCCTTTTCTATAGAACAGCCCAAAAATAAGATACCGTCAGGCAGGAAGAGGAGCTTTTGCGTGCCTATTCAAGGAAAAACTATCTCAAAACAAATAAAGCTTAAGAAAGCTGGGGTGTAGGGAAGTCGTCCCTTTCGGGCGAAACCGGCGGCATTTCGAGCCAGTTGGGGCCCCGGCTCCTTGCTCGCCAATACCCCCGTGTGCTTCACATCGTAGCGGTCGAAGACCGTCTTCAGCTGCAAAACCTGCGGGCACCGCGCATTCCGGCGCTCGGCCGCTCGGCCGCTCGGCCGCTCGGCCGCTCGGGCGCTCGAGCGCTCGGGCGGGGGCGGGTCCACCCCTCAAGGTCCCTTCTCGATAAATCCGGGGGGTAATCCGACTTGTGTTGGGTTTCCCTTGAAACTCGGTTGGAAATGGGTGCCCTCCACTTAATTGAGGGCAAAGAGAATCCACTGTCTAAGGGCACCCCGGTCAAAAACAATATAAGTCCTTTTCAACCACAATGTCACAGCAAGTGCTTGGGGTCCAACAACTGCTGTAGGGCACGCCGACGTTAGCCAAGCCGGCTTTGTGTCGTTGCGGGCCCCTGCGGCAAAATGAATAGTGTTGCAACCAAAAAGGCAGGCCAAGAACTGTGAAGCAGAGGTGCTTGGAGCGTTGTACATGCATTTGCATCAGACGGCCAATATAAGCCAAGCTAAGGCATGATCACAAAGGCAAGATGATGGCAACTATTTAGTCCCTCAGATGACTGATTCAGAACATTCTGGAGCGGTTCCAGGGGAGCCACAGGAAAATCACGGATGTAAAAGGGTATTTTTATATGGTTGGCCTCAATAGTCAGCAAAAATCAGGATTAGGCTACAATAGCTCCCCTGGCTATGGCTTTGGACTTGAGGAGCTTTGCAAACCTTTGCTTCTTTGACTCTATTCTTCGAACGTGTCTTTGGGTCTGGTTCCAGCCCAGAAGGGAAACGGGCCTCAAACCGGGCATTGCCCAGAAGGTCAGGTTCCTTGTACTAAAGGCGAAGGGGGAACCTGTTCTAGGATTGTCTGCTTCCCGGATAAGGGCTGACTTCAAAGCACAGGGCAAGCTGTACTTGTCACCCTAGTTGGACGCCTTGAGCCAGTTGGCTGCCTTTGCAACACCCAAGCCACAGAAACGGAAGTCCCAAAAGCCTCCATTTCCCACCATGGTTATCTCCCCTGTGTCCCTTCAAAACCCCATTCTTCAACCCTCAGCAAAAAGAAAACGATGGTTGATGTCCTTTCGGTGCTTTCGTTGAACACCTTTCTTTTTTTTGGATGCAACCCATTTCGGGCTCGCGCCTCGCCCTCAGTCCAGCCGCCATTGGACTTGTAGACCTGGAGAAAGTCAAAGTTCCCAGAATCATACGAAAACCGACCCGAGCCCCTGGTGTTTGTAGGGAAATGTGGTGAGTCCCACCATTTCCCTGCCAAATCCATGCCAATATGCTTCGCCTTCACTAATTTCCTCTTTCGAAGGGTTTTCGCTGTACACTTTTAGGAGCCTTCATTTTCCCAAGATCCAAACTGAGACCTCTGGGCCGGTAAGCTTCCCCGTTTGGAACCCAGAATCCGCCTGGGCTCCAACAATTTCCAAGTAAAGTGATCTGTGGTATACCCGTATACCCAATTCACGGTCTGAACTTGAAAGGTTGAAAGGGGGCGAGAGTCTGAGAGGGAATTAATGCAACCCCCAGACATGTTGTCTGAATTGTCCAATCTCAGGGCCGAGGTCAACTCATTGCTTGGTGCGCCTCCCGCAGATCTCGTGCGTGTTGGCAGCAAACACCTGGCCAAAGGACTTTGTTGGTCATCGCACGGCTACAGACATTGCATCCTATTGGTGTCGGGCTCTACTACGTTGCGCAAGTTTATAAACCTGCTCACCACACATACACACCCTCCGAAGCCCTCCCAAGAACAATATACCCACCCACCCACCCACCCACCCACCCACCCACCCACCCACCCACCCACCCACCCACCCACCCACCCACCCACCCACCCACCCACCCACCCACCCACTTGCTCCCTCACTGACTCAGTGACTCAGTGACTCAGTGACTCACTGACTCACTGACACACTGACTCACTGACTCACTGACTCACTGACTCACTGACTCACTAACTCACTGACTCACTAACTCACTGACTCACTGACTCACTGACTCACTGACTCACTAACTCACTGACTCACTGACTCACTGACTCACTGACTCACTGACTCACTGCCTCACTGACTCACTGACTCACTGACTCACTGGCTCACTGGCTCACTGGCTCACTGACTCACTGACTCACTGACTCACTGACTCACTGACTCACTGACTCACTGACTCACTGACTCACTGACTCACTAACTCACTGACTCACTGACTCACTGACTCACTGACTCACTGACTCACTGACTCACTGACTCACTGACTCACTGACTCACTGACTCACTGACTCACTGACTCACTAGCTCACTGACTCACTGACTCACTGACTCACTGACTCACTGACTCACTGACTCACTGACTCACTGACTCACTGGCTCACTGGCTCACTGGCTCACTGGCTCACTGTCTCACTGGCTCACTGGCTCACTGGCTCACTGGCTCCCTGGCTCGCTGACTCGCTGACTCGCTGACTCGCTGACTCGCTGACTCACTGACTCACTGACTCACTGACTCACTGACTCACTGACTCACTGACTCACTGACTCACTGACTCACTGACTCACTGACTCACTCACTCTCTTACTCACTCACACCTACCCACACACACACACACATTGGAGCTAGGACCAGGAATATATGTATATGTTTAAAGCAGCGTGTGTATGTATATATGTATATATGTATATATGAGCATATGCACACATACAAAAACACTCTACTTCTCGGTTCCATGTTTAGTCACCTGTAAACATGTGCCAATTCAATCGGATTTCCCCGGTCACCGCTTCCACCTCTCCGGCAAAGGAAAGCAAAAACACCCGCAATAAACGTGGCGCTGGTGCGGACGAAGGCCGCCTGATCCAGGAAGGGCGATTCCTCGCAAGGCGAAATCGGCCGCAGTTTGGTGGGGAGACAGCTGCAGGCCGACAATTCGTGCGTTTCTGGAGAATCCGCTTCCTCTGACCTGCTGAGTTTCCTGGGAGATGGTTTGCACTTGTCGGGCCTTGATTAAGACGATGAAAAAACCTGGCAACTAAACAAGTCTTAAAGATTGAAAGTTCAACAGACAAGTATTTGCAAGCAGCTGTAAACACTGAGCCACTGCCCGGGGGGAGGGGTGGACCAAGGAGGAATCGAGCCTGAGACGGGGGGGGGGAGGGGGGGGGGGGGTCTAAATAATTGTTTTTCAATCTTTTAGGCTCAAATAATTGAAAAAAACAATCTTTCGGCAGTTGAGCCCCTTACCTTGCTTGCGCAAGGAGAAACTTCAGCTAGCTAAAGCTAGCTTTCGTGAAAATGCAACAAAGCAACTTCAGGTGGTTGCTTCAGTCAGGTCATTCGGGCACCTATTCGTCACATAACTCCAAACGGTACCCTACCAAGAATGGATTCATAGTAGAACTGGTGACCCGTTTTGGCCCCCGCCTCGAGGCCCCCCGACCCACTTTTCTTTGGTCACAGATCTTCAGTTGCCCGGTGTACTCCCAATTTCCCACCAAAGGCCATCATTCAATCCAAAGAAAAGGTTCAAGCCATTGGTGCGGACAATCGCCTTGTAAGGCCAATATTTGCGGCCAATGACTGCAATGCTCAAGCCTGACAACTTCGGAATCCCAACAGAAACACCTCTACAGGTTCCCCGGATCGGAGAGCGCGTTCTAACTTGTCCAGACCTAGCAGGGTCTCTATGCTTCACCCAAAGGCGAGGCTATCGGCCCACAGAGTGACCCGAGCTCCAAGGCCCCAGCAGCACGCTGGGTCTTCGCGCAGACTTGGGCGGCAAAGGCCACATACTGGCGACGTCGGTAGGGGCGGGTGGGGGCCAGACGCCTTTTCGAAGATTGAGCCCGGATTCCCCAGATTCGGCGCGTAAGGCGGGGTAAAACAAAACCGCTATAACCAACCAAATGTTGAGTCCAGTGATGTGGACCTAAGGCCTGTACGAACCTTCGTACAAGGCAAATTGTCGACCAAGCTTCTGTTCATGATATCTACCGACCATTGGGTGGTCAAACAAATTGTTGCTTTTTGGCCTGCATGTTGAGACCGTGTAAACCCATGATGCTGAGAAAGGCAAGGCCTTGGCTTTGCGGGTATATACTGGTCAAAAATGGGGACCACAAGAATGGGTGGTTTACTTTTGATTTCCCTTATGATTACTGTCAACACAACATAATTCTTTGGCGTCCTTGCTCTGACTGTACTGCTACAACCTAGCAAGGGGTTCAGCAGTTGACATATTCCCGAGCCAAAGCTTTGGCCAATGCTTGGCTCCAGCACCACTTTGGCTGGTGCGTGTAAACCCCTGCTCATTCATGGTCGTGGAAACTAACCCTTTCCGTAATACCAAAGTTGTACGGGGCCCTGAAACTCCATTACGTGCTCATTTTGCTCGACCATAAATGCCGGCCAGGCAATTCCTGAACTCCCCAGTATGCCTGGCAGTTGCATGATACACTTGGAAAGGGAGCTTTGGTGCGAGACATGAACAGTGGGTTGTCGGCATCTTTTACTAGCAAGGTCCGATAAAACCACGACTTGCTCGGCCCGGCTCATGCAAGCCAGAGAGCGAGAAGCAGCTGTTGTAAGAACTCCAAAACTCTAATCGCCTTCCCGCGCCAAGCGTGACGTGTGGTCAAATAGCCAATCCCTGCTCAGTTGCTCGTCACAGCCAATTGAAGTGCAGCCAAAATAAAATACTCACAAATCATGACCAGTTCCTTTAAACCAAGTGGGGAGGAGCAAGCAAAAACTTCAGAGAATGGAAGTTAAAAAAAATTGGCCAAGCACATGTTCATCTGTCACCCTTTGTTTGTTTGGTCCATCCAGCGGCAATTTGCGACCAAAACGCCCAAGCCAAGCAACAGGTCGGGGTGGAACCTCCATTCTGACGCGACGGAAGGCCAAACACGGAGCTCACCAGCAGGTGGGCCAGCGGGCAACGGCCCGAAATGAGCTCCCCACCTTGTTGCCACCTTACCAGCTTCCACCCTCCCCATGCCTGCAGCCTCGCGCGGAAGCCCAAGCCCCTCACTGCCTGGCCGGACAACCAGGGCCACCGGCGCGAGGCTCGCGTTTTCCGATGCGGGCGCCATGCAAGGCACAAAGTGTGCTGAATATTCGTGGCGAGGTTGCTGAAACTCGACGTAATGCAGCCTTCAGAACTTCAGACATCCAGCGAAGACAACCCTTTGGGTCAGCTCTTGTTGGTTGATGTCAAAAGGAAACCTGGCGGAAACCAGCATTTTCGGGGGGGGGGGGGGGGGTCCCCGATTGAGGAAAACACCCAGCGCCTTTCAAAACGGAGCAAGCGCACGAGGTTGGCCCTTGCTGTGATGACTACCAAGGATTCCCACCCGCATGAGTCCATCACTTCAAACAGGATTCCAACTAGTAACCTGTGTGCAGATTTCCACAACCGTCCATCTCCCGCGACTATCTACAGGTGAATGATCGTTTCCCCACCAAGAAGAAAAAAACTATGAAAGTGTCCTCTCGCGATTCAAATCTGCCTGTGGGTTCCAACTCTGCCGCCAAAAACTACCTCAGCTTTTGACTCCCCCGTTGATTCCGGCCCATACTTAATGTAAACTCGTGGGGATTGGGGTACTGGCAAATAGCCTATGTTACAGCCTCACGGCCGCCCGTGAGAGACCCTTGTCCATATAGACCCGCCCTATTCATATTATGCTGCTGCTGCTGCCCTCCAAAAATGATGAAGCCCCCCCAAAAAGGGCGCAAGCCCCGTTTAATCAGCCAGGGGTTTATTCATCCAGGGTTCCCGTTAATCATCAAAAGAGACCCCAGAAAATAACACGAACAGGCCGCACACACCTCCACGGCCTCGTGCTCCTGCAAGCCCTGGAGCCGAAGATCCCAAGGCACACGCTTGGCTCGGGACAGGGGAGAGGTCGTCTTTTCAGAACAAACTTGAAAGGACTCCCCTGACATAAGTCCCAAAGAGAGTCCCATCAAGTCCCTTGATGGGACTTCTCTTTTCGGGACTCAACAAAACCGCAAAGAGATTGACATAAGCACGACACAAGGTGTCGAGCCCCCAAGGGCAAAAACAACGAACGTGCGGCAGTTTCAGAAAGCCACCGCTAGACCAATGGGTCGGGTCGACGGCAATTCGTCATGCAGACTTTGGGAGCTCCCTTGAAGGGAGATTTATATTTACAGTACGCGTCACAAGACAAGACCATTGCTCAACCCATCATTTCTACCCGTGGTTTCGGGATGGGTCCTTTCCAATTTCTCAGCTGCTTCACGCTTGACTATTCTATCATTACACGGGGGACTATAGCGGTTGGGGACTTTCGTCGGAAGGCCAACGCCCGCGCTTCTCAAGCTGGGGAGTCCCAACCCAAAGGACAAACGGCGACAGAAGGCAGCATAGAAATAGCATCCCGAAATGCCCCCTTTGCATCAAAGAAAAAAACAAAACCCTCCAAAAATGCATCAATAAAATACCAACACCCATCCCGGTTCAAGGGTCCAGATTGATCCGAAGTTCACAGTTTAGAAGGCAGGACCCTCCGTGAGCTCGTCGTTTGCCGGAGAGAATTGGCACCAGTTGGTGTGTCAACTGGGGTTGAGACTCTCTTCAAAGGGCCTTCAAAGGGGGAAGCATGGAATCACGTAGCGGATTGCCGGCCCCTTTGAGGAGTTCATAATTGAATATCGGAGGAATCCAACGTCGTTTTGGCAGACTGATCTTTCACTCTTTGAAGCAGACACGCCTGCCTGTCCAATCCAGAGGGTTCCACTTGAAACTGGGGTCAACATTCGTAGGTTCATAAGTCTGGCTTCGAGAAGGGCAATCAGTCTGATCTGCCTTGAAATTCTCGTGGGTTCCCAAAAGATTCCACGCTTCCTTTGATTTTTTGTTATGTATTGACCCACACCTATTTGTTTGGGCAACTTGCTTTAGTTCAACCCGGAAAAAAAAGGAATCCTTTCAAGTGAGGAGGAACCTGGGCGGTTCACCGGTCTCCATTTCGCAGAAGAGAGGCCTCGCCTTGGATCCCTCGGGCAAGGCGGCCACGAAGGCCTCCAAGGCGCCCATTCCAACCGAATCCATCGTCGAAAGGTTGCTTTTGGTTTTCCTTTTTGCCTCTCTCTTCTCGGGGTAGGGATCTTCATGAGGGCGGATCTTGGGTTGGGGTTCATGGCCCGGCAAAGGGCTGAGATCAGGCTCGTTTTTGGGTGAGTTTCGCGTTGGCTTTGGGGAGACTTAAACCTAAAGCCACTGATAAACCAGCCAGTTGGAGCCCACAAGGCACCGTTCAAACTTGCAAATACAGCAGGGACTCCTCGAGAATCATTGTAAATCGGATTCCCTGACACACCATGTCATGCTCGAAGTGTGGCTAATGGTGAACTTTAACTGTTGCTCACTGCTCACCTCTAAGTTCCCAGTGCGGCGTTGCTTTGCTGAAACATAACTCTAAGCGACACTTGGAGTGCGCCTGTCACTATTTTCTTTCAGCATGCCTTTGCCGCCTCAAACGTGCAGCGCCCGTGTAACAACGGCACCGAATTGCAGGCTCAGCTGCCCCTTGCACTGGCTGCTGTCTCCGCCGAATTCTTGATCACCCCATGTCAAAAAAAGCACCAGCAGTTGCTTGGATATGCTGGACGTTCCTCGGCTGCTCTTGCACTTGACTGCTTCCTCCGCCCCACTCTGCACGCCCCCGGGCGACAACAGCCCCAGATTCAAGAATGGCAGCAGACGCTCGGCTCTTGCACCTGGCTGCAGTCTCCACCAGCGTGTCGACAGCCCCGGATTCCAGAATGGCGGCTAACGCTTGGCCAGTTGCTTGGATGTGCTGGACATTCCGCAGCTGCTCTTGCACCTGGTTGCTGTCTCCGCCACAGTCTGCACGACCCCAGGTCACAATAGCCCCAGATTCAAGAATGGCAGCAAGCGCTTGGCCAGTTGCTTGGATGTGCTGGACGTTCATCAGCTTCTCTTGCACCTGGCTGCTCTCTCTGCCCCAGTCTGCACGACCCCAGGTCACAACAGCCCCAGTTTCAAGAATGGCAGCAAAAGCACCCAGAGTTGCTTGGATATGCTGGACGTTCCTCAGCTGCTTTTGCACCTCCGCCGTGTTCTGGACCACCCCAGGTCACAACCTCGCCCCCGTCCCCATTCCAAGCGAACGCCTTGAAGGTGGCAGCTAGCTTGCCAAGCTGCACAACCGCAGTCACCATCTCCCCATCTCGCAACCCCGGCCTCTGTTCGAGTGGCAGTCAAATCGAGCTGCCGGCCTTTCGCAATGAGCTTCAACCGGCGCTGGAAATGCTGCTCCGCTGCAGCCTTCAGCTCTCCGATGGTCGCCGTCAGTGAGACTGCTATGCAGCAACCATCTCCACTGGGCAAGTAAACATCCACCTTCATGGCGAGGGAAGAGTCCTTCATGTGCTTGCAAGTTGCCAAACACAAACCTAAAACAAATCGAGGGAAGGGAACTTGCTGAATGGCTTTAAAAAACATCCCAACCATTTATGCCTCACTCAGCTGAAGCCCCGAGATCACTGCGATTTGTGGGCAAAAACAACAGTGCCAATCCATGAATCCATTCGCGACGAAGCCCGAAGAAAAGCAAGGCCGATCCCTTCCTTTAGAATCCCCAAAACAAAATACAGAATACCCACGGCTTTCGGATCGGCCTATCTACTAGCTTTTCAAACACATGCACCGGGTGAGGGGGTGCCTCAGGTGTTGTATTTGGCCCTGCGGTACCAAGAGGCCCGGCATGAAGAATCCACAATGACCGCACGTAGAACTGGAAGAGCCCCACGAGCCTTTGAAAAGGATACCAGAGTTCAGAGGAACTTTCGTTGAGGTTCGCAAGGTACTCAAAAAGAAATCAGGCAGGAATGCGGCATACCATTACATCCTGGTTGCAAGCGTTTCCGGCTTGGACTGCCAAACGCTGTGTGTGTGTGAGTATTGAATGGGGGACCCTTTGGTACCTAGTTAAATTCACAGCCATCTGTGAGACAGAATCCACTTCAGCCCACAGCAGTGCTATTCTTCGACTTCCTTTGTGTCTGGATGCAAGATGGAATCCGCACTCAAGTTGGTTCTCTGGGTGGTTCCTTGCAAGAAGCCCATGGAAGACTCCGCGAAAACTTCCCGCGATGCCTTCTTGTATGCAGCCACTTGCCGCTCCTGCCGGCCAGATCGTCACACGACTTGGTGCTCAAGGAATGACCGAGCCCGGAATGAACCCAAGGATTCCCTGGGAAACCATATGGTGTCTGGGGCTGGTTTAGCAACAAAATGAGAAACAAACAAGCTCGCAAGGACAGGGCAAAATATGAGTTCAGTCTGGTGAGTCAGTGTAACAGCCGCCTGGCAATGACTCAATGACCAACCAGTTTCAGTTGGCCCCTGCTTATTCAAGTTGCCAGCCAGTTGCGCTCTTGACGAGGGTCCTCAATGCCCTAGTGCTGATCCGGCTCCAATTGAGATCTTCCCGGCCTGTAGCTAACAACCCAAAGAAGCGAACAAGGTTTGTGCACAGCCTTGTCCCCTCAAAGCATCCTGAGCTTAAAGGAAAAGCACGTCATAGGGCTCCAATTCTGCAACCTCGATGTGGATCATTGAATACTTGCTCCTCGCACGCAAATCACTGAGCGGGAAGGCTGGCCAGGCTCGTCCGAACCTCCCTGGAAAAAGTTGACTTGCTGCTCCCGCACGGATATGGTTGCTGGGAACTGGGGTGTGTTTGTTGTTTGGAGTCACCAGTTGCTCACTCTCTTTCTTCATCAAAAGTCGAAAATGAGTGTATCCAAGATGAGAACAACCAATGTAAATTTAAATCCAAAAACACCGCTTGCATCAAAAGTGAATATAAAGGACACTCAGAAGGGCAAAGCAAAACGCTCCGGCGAAAGTCTGGCGAGCCCCGCCGCACCTGCAGCATGCCTTAGCAGCAAAAGGGCGGCTAAAAGAGGCAGATAGGCTGCCTTCAAGAAGGGTTCAACACTGGGGGTTCAAAATCGTCTTTCCAGCAAGGAGCATTTTGAGAGACTACCATCTTCTTGAAAAGGCCCCTTACCCACTTCCTAAACCTCTGCAAACAGTTTGATGCGTTCCCAGCTGATGGGGAACTGATTTCCCAAAGAGTACTCCCCTGCAAACAAGCATGGAACCCCAAGAGATAGAATTTGCAAAGGAAAAACGTCACAGATCAGGTAAGCCTGGGCCATGATTTCACTCCGCAAATGATTGATAGAAGTGCTTTTTGTCGGTTCGCGACTGATATCTTCTAGGAACAGGGAACCAAATCGGCCAAGCTTTGACTTCCCAAAACCCGCAGGGCCAGTGGTGAAATCGGAAGACGTCCCGCTTGGCCGGACAAAGTGCCCAATGTGCTTATTCATTTATCTATATAGTTATTTGTTGAAATATGAATGTAGTTTATCTGTTTACTTGTTTCTGCATCTGTTTGCTTTTAAATATATCTTGGTTTACTCAATATATCAATTTGTTCACTCAATATATGTCATGAAGTTGAACCGTTCTCTGCCTCTTTTTTTTTCGAGATTCATTTGATCTATTGTTGTGTCTTCTTTTTTTTGGAGGGGGGATTTCGGACCTTCAACGAAAAGGAAAACGAAGGGACCATTGGGGAATGCCACTGAACTGGGCTCTCCAAAGGCCAAAAAATCGAACTGCGGCCCAGCAGCGCACCATCTTGCGGAACTGCGGCCTGGGCGAGCGCCGCACTCCGAGAAGTTCTCGGAACGGATTATTATTATTTTTTGCAGGTGACTTTCCATATTGTCCTTTTGGTTTTTGGTTTAAATAGCTTGAGGGGACCTCCCCACATGGTTCCTGCTGGTTGTTTTCCTCAAAAGTTGTGAGCCTACCCCACACATCATTCCGTTCACAACAGCAGATGACGATGAATATTGTCCCGCGCTCCAAATCCTACCACAGATTTCCATCACCGCCACCACCGCCTAGCAAGAACGACTTCAAAGACAACAAGAGCAATGTCCAAGACCATGCACCAACATTGTCGTCAACAAAAGCGAGTGAGGGTTTGGGAGGTGGGGCAATGGCCAAAGGGAAAGACCAAGCAGGGGCACTTGAAAATGTGTTGCACGAGATTGGTTAATAATTGCGCTGCCCCAAAACCAGTGCTACAAAAAGCATTTGAGGTCCACACCGCAGTCTCCTTATGGCACTCAACACCTGAACAATGGTGGCGACAACGAGGACGACCCCTCACTGAATGTGGCTGGGTGATTCGAACACTCACCCATCTAAGTGCAAGCAGGGAACCTATCACCTGGATGTCCAGCCGTTGTTTGGTTTTCGCCTGCAACACTCGGCCCCGGTAATTCAGCCAGCAAGCCCTCACCGCACCCCCTTTCTATAAACCCGCAGAAAAGGAGACGCACACAGGCGTTTGCCACAGGCGCTTGGAAATGAATAGTTTGTCCAACCCCATCCAAGCTCCTGCACAAGCAGGTACAGACTCCAGGAAGCCGTGCCACCGAACAGGGGTCCGCAGTTGTGACAAACACAGGGGGTTAAGAATCGAGGATCATTCCACAGCCAACTGTGAGAAGTGCCTTCCAGCCCTCATGGCTTCCCACCGGGCAGAGGTTCAGGGGCAGAGGAATATTATGGGCCATTTGGCACCCAGTCCAGAAGAAGCACGCCTTTTAAACCGCTCGCGGTATTCTCTTTACAAGGCAGGTGCAGTGGCCAGTTCATCCCTGACTCAAACAGAGAGCGCTCAGGGAACAAATCAAAGCCGTCTCTAGAGGGGAGGCTGTTAAAAAACTCGTCGGGGACGCGAGAATAAGAAACACGTGAATGCGATGCATGTGCTTGACGCGTGGAATGATCTGGCCGCACCTGATGGTGGGATTACGTGCAAAGACTCACAGTGTCACCATGGCTTCTCCCTCAAAGCATCTGGGCAAATTACTACATATCATTCACAAAACAGAAAGCAAGAGCAAGGGCTCATTTGACTCGCTGATGAGAAGGCGGGTGCATTTGGCATTCACACTGGCTAGCATCTGTGGTATTACAGGACTGGTTGGGTGTCTCTTTTGCGAGAGGATCCTTCACTGTTGGAGACACCTCTATGGATCCCACATTCGTCGATTCCAAAACGGGATGCGGGCTGTGCTTCCCCTTTCAGTTCTCTTTAAACATCAACCATGTGGGAGTCACATATCACAAGTCGCGCAAGTTGTACCCCATGATCCATCCTCTGCATTTTCCTTCAGAGAAAACCAAACAGTCCGAGTATACCCGGTGCCCCCTCCCCCACCAGCTGCCACCTCCGCCAGTGAAGCAATGCCAAACCAATTGATACCAAACTGATACCGATCCAACCACGCGGGGTAGGGGGGGGACCATGGGGGGGGAAGGGAACCACCAATGCCAAACCAACCAATCCCCCAAACCAAGGAAAGGCGGCCTGCAGGAACATGTATGGGTCGAGGACTGTTGTCATGTAACCACGGAAACTGGAGCTCAAAAGACTGCGGCGGCGAGTTCTGCCACCGCCCCAAGGGGGAAAACTGCAAGCATACCGAATTTCCTGAACTGGCGAACGGCCTGGGCGGAAAACAGGGACAGTCCTGCCACAGGGCTCCTCTTTCCCCAAATAAAACATCAGCCCACACATGGGAACGCAATTCAAGTCGTCAAAAAGTCATGTGCAATCTCTGGAACTCCCAAAACATCCTGAACTCTGTCCCTGGCGCCCTTGGCCAGTCTGTAGCTGGCCAACAAAAGCCTCCGCACACCCTCTATGCCCCACCAGTGGCCGGTGCTATACATCCGAATTGCGCTGGCTAGAACTGCGCGACCGGGACCTAGTCACCTGGTGGTGTGCTTACCATGTTCCTGCCAATCTTACCGCTTGATCCTCGGCACTTGGTGGCCAAGTCAAAAGCCAGTATGCAATTGCAGCATGTTCAGTGGAGTCATGGTTCCCCCCACTCGAGCAGGGACCAAAGCTCCTCCAGCGCTTGTGGGATCATCGAATGGATACGGCTTGGTTTTGACAACCCAAGAGCGGCTTTGGTTGGAATTGGTAGCAGTTCCCTATCTGGGGCTGTGTGTCCCTATAATGGTTTGTAAGGACATGACATTGAGTGAGTCTCCCATTGTCCTTCCCAAAAGGACCACACCACTGGAAGTGTTGACCGAATTTATGCCAAAAACCTCCCCACTCTAAA